TTATTATGTTGAGGTATGTTCTAAACCTACTTTGTGGAGGGTTTTTATCATAAATGGATTTTGTACTTTGTTAGATGCTTTTTCTGCATCTACTGAAATGATCATACAGTTTTTATCCTTTTCTTGTTGTGATGTATCATGTTGATTGATTTGCAGATACGGAACCACCCTTGGCAACCCAGGAATAAATCCCAATTGATTGTGGTGAATGATTGTTTTAATGTATTACTGGATTTGATTTGCTAGTATTTTGTTGAGGATTTTTGCATCTGTGTTCATCAGAGATACTGGCCTGTAATTCTCTTTTTTGTAGTGTCTTTATCTGGTTTTGGTATCTGGGTGATGCTGGCCTCATAGAATGAATTTGGAAGTTTTCCTTTCTCCTTTTTTTCTTTTAATAGTTTGAGAAGAGTGGATAATAATTTTTCTTTAAATGTTTAGTAAAATTCACCTGTGAAGCCATCTGGTCCTGGACTTTTTTGGGGGGGAGTTTTTTGATTATGGATATAATATCATTGCTGGTAATTGGTCTATTCAAATTTCCTATTCTGGGTTCAGTTTTGGGATGTTTTGTTTCTAGGAATTTATCCATTTCTTCTAGGTTATCCAGTTTTTTGGCATATAATTTTCTATAATATTCTCTTACAGTCTTTTGTATTTCTGTGATGGTGGTTATTTCCTGTTTCATTTCTGATTTTATTTATTTGAGTCTTCTCTTTCTTTTTGATGAGTCTGACTAAAGACTTATCAATTGTGTTGATTTATTCAAACAACCAACTTGTTGTATCTTCTTGTTGGATTGTCCCCTTTATTATAGCATCTGTCTTTGTCTCTTGTTACAGTCTTTGTTTTAAAGTCTTTTTTTTTCTGATGTAAGAATTGCTACCCCAGCTTTCTTTTCACATCCATGTGCATGATAGATGCCTCAATCCCTTCACCTTTCATCTGCAGGGGTCCTTAGGTCTTGAGATGAGTCTTTTGTAGGCAGCATGAGATGGGTCCTGTGTTGTTATCTGTTCTCTTCACCCTGTGTCTTTTGATTGGAGCATTTGGTCCATTTACATTCATAGTAATTATTGATATGTACTTTTTGCCATTTTGTTCTTTAATGGTTGTTTTTGTAGTTCTTCTGTGTTCCTTTCTTCCCTTGCTCTCTTCTCTCACTATTAGTTGGCTTTCTGTAGTGTTACACTTGGATTCCTTTTTTTTTAAATTTTTTGCGTATCTATTACTGGTTTTTGGTTTGTGGTTACCACTGGTTAGTGTATAACTTCTGCATATAGCAGTCTGTATTAAGCTGATGGTTACCTAAGTTTGAACCCATTCTTTACTCCTCTCCCCCCACACACATTTTGGGTGTCATACTTTACATCCTTTTACTATGCATCCTTTGAGTTTTACAGATGTACTTATTTCTGCTGCTTTTGTGTTTCCTACTTTTCATACTCTCACGGTCTCTCCTTTCCACTCAAAGAGCCCCATTTAACATTTCTTGTAAGGCTGGTTTAGTGGTGATAAATTCCTTTATTTGTTTCTCTGAGAAACCCTTTGTCTCTCCTATTCTGAATGATGGCCCTGCGGGATAGAGCGTTCTTTGCTGCAGATTTTTCCCTTTCAGCACTTTGAATTTATCATGCTACTCCCTTCTTGTCTTGCAAACTCCCGTCTGCAGTTTATGCTGAGAAATTAGCTGATAGCCTTGGGGTTTCCTTTGTATTTAACTTTTTTCTTTTGCTGCTTTTAAAATCCTCTCTTTTATCACCACTTTTTGCCATTTTAATTACTAGGTGTCTTTTTTTTTTTTAAGATTTTATTTATTTATTTGACAGAGGCAGGGGGAGTGGGAGAGGGAGAAGCAGGCTTCCCACTGAGCAGGGAGCCCGATGCGGGGCTCGATCCCAGGACCCTGGGATCATGACCCGAGCTGAAGGCAGATGCTTAACGACTGAGCCTCCCAGGTGCCCCTAGGTGTCTTTTTTTAAAGATTTTATTTATTTGAGAGAGCGAGCATGTGGGTGGGGCAGCAATCGAGAGAGGGAGAAGCCAACTCCGTGATGAGCAGGACCCTGAGATCATGACCTGAGCTGAAGGCAGGCGCTTAACCGACTGAGCTACCCAGTGCCCCAATTGCTATGTGTCTTGGCATGGACCTCCTGAGTTGATTTTGTTGAGCTATTTCTGTGCCTCCTGGATCTGGATATTTCTTCACATAAATTTTCTGCCCCCTTTTCTCCTTCTGGGATCCCTATAATGCCAGTGTTATTACGCTTGATAGAGCCACTGAGTTCCCTAAGTCTGTTTTTGTTTTGCATAATTTTTTTTTGCTCACCTGTTCAACTTTACTTTCCATGACTCTGTCCTCCAGATCTGCTTCCTCTAGTCTACTAGTTATTCCATCTAGTATATTTTTAATTTCATTGTGTTCTTCATCTCTGAATGGTTCGTTTTCATCTCGTTAAGGGCCTCACTGATGTCCTCCACTTTTAAGTCCTGAGTATATGATCATTACTTTGAATTCTCCATCAGGCATATTGCTTATCTCCATTTCACTTAGGTCTCTTGCTGTGACTTTGTCCTGTTCTTTCATTTGGGACATGTTCCTTTGTCTCATTTTGTCTGCCTCTCGGTGTCTTGTTTCTGTGTTAGGAAAGTCACCTGTGTCTCCTGCTCTTGAAGGTGGTGGCCTCATGGGAAGGAGGTTCTGTCTGCCTGCAGTGCAAGGTCCCCTGTTCACCAGAACCTGGCACTTCAGAGCTGTTCTGTGTACTGTGTGCACCATACTGTGTGGCTAGGCCACGTTTGCCTGCAGAGTCCAGGTATCTGCAGTGGCTGTTTTTGCTCCCTGTGGTGGTAATGGGTCAGTCCGAGCAGGCGTTTGCCAGAGCTGCAATGGCACCAAACTGCAGGATGCTTTCCCTGCATTGTCCCCCGAGAAGCTTTCATGCGTGGTCAGGGCCTGCAGTCTGACCAGCTGTCTGCCCCTAGCCCACTTTGGGGGCCACATTCAGTGTGCGTGGTTAGCTTCCCCTCTCCACGGGCAGGAGGTGCTTTGGAGTGGTGCTGGCCCTATAGGGGCAGCTTGCATGTGCCAGGCTGGGGGTGCTGCTTTTGATTGGCTCCTGCTTTGGAGGGGGTGGATGCAAACCCCCTCCCCCCAGGTGTGGGAGGCTTGGTATTAAGCAGGGTTTGCGTGGGTCTTCTGGGGGATGGGACCCGCAGAGCTGGGACTGAGGCAGGCCTGGCTGGAGGGTGTGGATGGGAAGCTCGGGGGTGGGAGGTTGGGTGCAGTGTAAGCAAATCAGTGAGTGTCATGCTGGTTCCCTCAGGCAGCTGGGGGGGGGGCGGGGCAGTGGATACCACCTGTAGGTCCTTTGTTCCTGGAGGAGTCTCCCAAGATCTCTGTCTCTCCAGAGCACCTGAGATTAGCAAACAATCCCACTGTATGCCCCGGGTGTTTTTCACACTGCTGCTTCTATGCTGTTTCTCCCCAGGCTGTTAGTTGTGTTGTCTCTTTAATGGTGGGGACTCAGTTTCCTCTCAGCCTCTCTGCTCTCCTAAAATTGAGCCTACTGATTTTTAAAATTCCAAGTTTTAAGTCCTGCTGATTGTAAAAACTCACAGAACTCAGCTCCTCTGGTTTTCAAGGCCAAATGTTACGGATAGTCGTCTTCCCGTGCAGGCACCCCAGTGCAGTAGTCTGGTTCTCTCCCTTCTCTGTGCTGGCAAGTTCCTTCCTCCCATGGGCAGCCCCACAGTTTCATTTAGCTCCCCACCAGGTCTCTGTACTTTCTGCCCTCTTTGATGTGGCCCCTTCTCCCACTTACTTGTGGAGTCTGTTCTGCCAGTCTTCAGGTCATTTTCTGGGTTTACACTGATGTGTTGTCTGGTTCTACCTGTTGAGCTTCGGGTCCTCCTACTGTGCCATCTTCCCACAATTTGTGTTTGAAATTTCAAACTTGGTTGGAACTTAACCCTCCTAGTTTATCACATTTTGGCATTTTCAGATTTTTATTCATAGGTGGATTGTAGAACCAGTCTACAGCAAAGACAGTAGCACTGTCTTTGGGGCAGGGGAGGTCTCACTCTCTGGAGCTACCTGGGCTGTGGCTGATAGCCAGCTAGTAGCTGTAGATGGGATCCCTTCCCCGGGGTGGGGGGGAGGGGTCTGTGGTTCCGTCCACCAAGGCATGAACATTACACTGCCAGAATAGTACAAGCTTGAAAATGACAGGAAAAATGTTTACTGTAAGTCAGAGGTTGCCAAACTTTCTTGGTTCATGATGCATTTAGTGTCTAGTGTCTTAGTTTATTTTTTCAGAGGATTACTAGACCAAAAGTTTATGACATTGTAGTTTCTGTGATGTTACCTAACAAGTTGTTTATGAAGTAGCTAGGTCTCTTCTGCAGATGTCATTGTGTGTTCCTTGAAAACTTAAAATAATCTGGGGTGTTGTGATACCCAGGACACCTCAGCTCACAGCTTAGGAGCTGTGGCTATAAGCAAAAAATTTAAATTCAGTTGTATGTCCTCTGTGATTATAACTATTAATGTTTGTATACACGTAAATAAATGATTTTAAAATATTGAAGCCCTTTTATATCATGTTTCCCTTCTAATTTATTCTCTGATTCTCTGGGTGCTATCAAGGCTTGTTCTTCGGTCCTTTCTATAGGGAAGAGCTGTACAAACAACAAAAGCCTTCTTCAAGGGGTGCCTGGGTGGCTCAGTCGTTAAGCATCTGCCTTTGGCTCAGGTCATGATCCCGGGGTCCTGGGATGGAGCCCTGCATTGGGCTCTCTGCTCAGCAGGAAGCCTGCTTCTCCCTCTCCCACTCCCCCTGCTTGTGTTCCCTCTCTCACTGTGTCTCTCTGTCAAATAAATAAAATATTTAAATTAAAAAAAAAAAGCTGCTTTTAAGCTCTGGGGCAACCATAGTACGGGAATTGTACTGCTAAGGAACCTGACCTTTTGTGATTGAAATTAACTTGTTCTCTTTTAGGACCACAGAGTGTTTTGGCTGATTACAGGAATTATGTTTATGGGAAGTGGCCTCATCTGGAGGCGTTTGCTGTCATTCCTGGGACGACAACTAGAAGCTCCTTTGCCTCCCGTGGTATGAAGGGTCTGGGTCGCAGCAGTGTAGCCAAGGGTTATGGTCTGGTTCTGCAGGCAGACCGACCACCTGAGCTGGTGTTGTCACCGGCTTTGTGACCCTGAGCAAGTTATTTCATTTCCACATCTGTCAGTCAAGTCAGTGTCAGTGGTTTCATAGTGTTAGTGGGAGAGTTAAATAAGCTGTGGAAAGTACTTATTACTAGTACAGTGCCTGGCCCGGTGAACAGCTTAGTGCTCTATGCAAAATACATCACTCTGGGATGAGCATTCTGCATTTGGACAGATGTTGGCAATTCTGCAGGCTTTGTCATAACTCAGATTGAAATGTAGAAAATGTAGCGTTCTCATTAAGAAAAGAGAAAAGTTTACCCTTTTTCTTACCTTTCTATTCCCATTACACCGGGAATGAATACTTAGCGTACTGACACAGGGCTTGTAGTCTCCCCTAATCACCTTTCCTTTTACTCATGGCATTTCTTTTAAGACAGACCCACAGTAAAATGATTAATTTTCCTGCTCTATTTAGATGGCCTCTTTACCCAAGAAGTCCCTTCAAGCGGACAGAAGGCTGGAAATGAAGCACGGCTTCCGGCCCGACGGTCTCGGACCAGGCAGGAGTGTCCTGACAGACCGTTAGGAGACATCAAAACGGAGAGACTGGGTTACTTTTCATGGTAGTCACAGGAAACTTCTGCTACTCTTTTTCTTTAGAGAGTCAGACACTTACATTATGTCTGATGATACAGAAGTCATGGCACTCCACAATGCTGGAACTTAACTGCATTTTCAAAATTGAGGAAAGAAGCAAAAACCTTAAAATGCTGTTTTTATAGACATGTGAGAATAGATTGTTGTATAGATTTTCTGATTTATACATGTCTCAGGCCAAGCAAAGCCTGAAAACTTGATAAGCCCACAGTGAACGAGATCAGGTAGCAGTTCTTAGTAAGGGGATCATGTTCTTGGGAACTTTGTGTCAGGTAAGGTAGCAAAATCCATAAACGAACTCTGAAAGTTTGTGCTTTAAATCAGCCTTTAATGTACTGTATTTTCTTGTATTAAGATTTTATTCTCTTGACTCCTGAAACTATTTTCTCTGCTTGGCTATAATGGAAGCCTTTGGAAGTGATGTTGAAAGAAAACTATTTCCATCCTGTTACTGTTTTGTAGCTCTTAGGTCATTCCCTGTCTTTGAGAGTAGATGGAGGTTCCCTCAACCACCCCCACCCCCCGAAAGTGTATGTAGCCCAGTTAATCTGTATGCCTACACCTCAGAGGTTCAAACTTCAGAGTGTCCAGAGCAGCTCTTCTACTACACATGTAATACTAGTAAAATCTGTATGCTGATAATGTTGGGGTTACCTGCTACTGTAATAGGATGTCATAGGAGGCAGTTTAGGAGTCCATTTACCAAGTAGTTTGGTGATGGGAGTAAAAATGCTATTCCAGTAGCTGGTTTGAGAGAAGATGGAGTTGTACTTTTCCCCACTCTCATGTGTGGTTAGAAGCCACTAGAAGCTGGAGGATACAGGTGGCCAGGCTGGGTTGGTCTCAGCACAGAGTGGCCCACTTGGCGCCTCCCTGTGGTCAGGGGCACGCTTTGAGGTGTGGGTGTCGGAATGTGGGTATACAGAACTCTCTAGGGTCATAAATGTGATGACCGAAGCCAAAGTGTCTTTGGTAACCTTTCGATCTTATGGGACACTCCACTTTCTCACACCTCAGAGCGCTGCTGCTGCTGTGACTTCGCTGTGACATGGAAGAATTGAAAGCCCAAGGGGTTTGATTTGACTCTGATCAGGCACAGAATCTGGGCCCTTTTCCTTTGGGTTTGAGTTTGTGGACTTGGGTAAAATTTTTTTTCCAGGAGTCATGTTTCCTCAACAAAAGGGAAATACAACTACCTCTTAAGTCTGATGTAGAGAAGTTACTGGTTCCTGAAGGTGGTTAGATAAGTAAGATTTCAAAATGTCAGCTCGCTCTGCTTTGCAGATAGGATGCTTCTTACCTAAGAAGTTAGGCGATTTTAAATTCTGAGTTAAAATCACTGAGCACAAGTGTTTGGTTATGTGAACGAGCAAGCAGTCTTATTCCCTGTTTAACAAGGTCAAGGAATGATATTAACAGACTGTTTTTGGAAGGCCTCTAAGGAAATGTGGCAGAATATAGCAAACAGACTGTGAGAAATAACCACTAAATAAAAACCTTTGGTACACAGCTTTACACAGCTTTATTTTTGGAGTTTTTAAAGATTTTATTTGGGAGAGGAGAGGGAACACAAGCAGGGGGAGTGGGAGAGGGGGAAGCAGACTTCCCGCCGAGCAGGGAGCCCGATGCGGGGCTCCATCCCAGGACCTGGGACCACGACCTGAGCTGAAGGCAGACGCTTAACCGACTGAGCCACCCAGGCGCCCTTGGGAGTTAATAGTTATCTAACAAACTTTAATCTCAGGATTTATTTTCATTACTTTAGTAATACCATGGAGGTGGTCTAATGGTGCGTGGACAGGGCATTCAGAGATTGGAGTTCATTCCCAAATGCACTCCACATCTCTCTAGGTCTGTGATTCAAAGGCACGGAAACCATGTTGATCGTGAAGTCTTGAAGCAAGTTGTTACATACACAGGTAATAGAAAAATTGCAAATAGGTACATGTGTTTTGACATCTTGAAGTAACTCCATGACCTTTAAGCTCAGATTTGTGTTAATGAGAGATTAAAACCCTACAAGGTATTTCCATTTTTGTTAAGCATTTCAGAATCCATGCTTAGAGCTACAGTTAATACTTAGATTTAAAATGTAACCCACCTCTGGGGAAATGCACTGGACTCTGTAGGCCAGTTTGTACATCTTTGCCATCCAGGTCGACCTTTGATACTGGAAATACAACTTTGCACTTTTGAATATGGGATTAAGATGGTTAAATATCCTGTATAAATCCTACGTGAGAACTTGCTTCTGTCTGGTATGTTTAGATATTGAGAATGATCGTGAGTCAACACAGGCCCTCTTGGTCAGGGAAGCAGATCCTTTCTTTAGCAATGGTGGTGTGAGAACACAGACTTCTAAGGAGAAGGCCCAGTACGCTGCAGTTATCAGCATGTTCTACACGTAGACGTCAGTTAAGTCATTCTGGCCCCTTTCATTGTTACCCAAATGAAACCAAAGGGTGTCTGTGCTTTTTGCTGTTCCCTAGGGAACTGGCAGCTTGCACACTTAAGAGGACCGTCACAGGGGTCATCCGAGGTGCTGTCTAGGTGTGTGTGCCCATTTTTCCCTCCATACTCCCCTATGCTCACAGTATTAACTTGAGTAGCTTTCCCTTGATTTCTAATTTAACTTAACTCCTCACCTGGATTCCTGTCTTCTTTGAACCACTCTCTACATTGCCTCTAGAGACGCTAAAAAGGGTTCTTGTCATCAGTTACTTTGCTCCCTGATTGCTACAGAATCCGTAATAACGCCTTCGCATGTTCAGTGAAGCTGGAAGCCTGGGTCGATTCCTTTCCCTCAGATAGGCCCTTCTGTCGGAACTGCAGATGAATCCCACCAGCCCGGGAACCAGGGAGGCCGGCGCCCGCTTCCCTCCCAGGCGCTGGCCTCGGGCCAGAGAGCTTGCTGGCGGGGTGGGCACGGCTTGTACCAGCCCAGCACAACACGGACTCCTCGTAAAGGACACAGAACCCTTGCAGTCACTGGGTTCAACTGTTCGAACAGCCGCTTCTACAAAAGCAGTTGAGGGCACTAAAAGGTGAGCTTTTAGTTTTATATTTGTCCTTCACTCTCTGAAACCCTGTGGAGTTGTGAGGTTCCCCCTCACCCCCCCTACTTTTCACTGTACTATTTCTCTGCTCACTTTTTCCCTGTATACTGTGCTTTCTATTTCATTTTGATTGGAATGGGTCACCAATTTTAAAAGGACGTTTTTAGGAGAAATGGACAGATTTTCCTAAGAGCTAACCAGAGAGTCCTTTCCAGGCATCAGCCCTAGGTATTTGTGTGGAAGGGGAAAGCAATTGTACAGCAGGTCTGAGCCCCAGGTTTCAATAGAAGGGAAGCAAGAAGGATGCGCTGGAAGGGGACACGAGTAAGCAGAGTATCTGTCGTCTTTCCCTGGGAAGAGGCCTGTCTTCACTCGAGGAGCCCCACCTCTAGCAGGATCCGCCCGGGCTCCCCTGGATGTGCTGCTCTGCCACCAGAATGCTCACCCTGGAGATAACTCGGCACAGGGAGGGGACGCAGAGTAGGAAAAGGTAATGAAGTCTTTAATGGAGGTCGAAGCTATAGACGTGCAGTGCCCCGGAGAGTCGGGCTCCCAAAGAACTCCTTCCAGCAGCAACGACAACTTGGTTCTGTAGGGGACAGAGAACAGGACTGTTGGTCACGCCTGGGAAGCTCCTGCCCTAGTCCCGGCATCCTGCTGTGCTTGGGTGACACAGGGGTGGAGACGGGCGTTAGTGCCATGAGGTTTCAGAGACGCAGACTAAGGCAGCTCGACTCAGGTGCGGGCTGAGTCCTAACTCCAGCCCCTTGCTGGAGGCTCACTTCAGGGGCCACTTTCCTCATCCTCAGACTGTCCATGTCCACTTGTCAATAGAACTGAACTAACTTGGTCCTTCAGGGCCACAATCCCAGGTAGGTGTAGTGAAAGTGAAGTAATGTGAACGTTCACTACAGTGAACTTGCAATGTACAGAAATGAATCAGCTAAATTACTTACAGATCTCTAAGGGTTGACAGATGTATAAATTTTTGTATAATTCATTTGGGTACTTGATAATGTCTAACTTTTGGAAAATGAATTTTAAGAGTAAGCCAAGCTTGGGGCGCCTGGGTGGCTCAGTTGGTTAAGGTTAAGTGTCTGCCTTCAGCTCAGGTCATGGTCCCAGGGTCTTGGGATCAAGCCCCACACATGGAGCAGGAGTCTGCTTCTCCTCCTCCCACTCCCCTTGTGTTCCCTGTCGCGCTGTCAAATAAATAAAATCTTGAGAGTAAGCCCAGCTTATGTAATTTTTGAGATTCCCCCCATAAACTTAATAATCCATCGTTTTTTTTTCTGGAATAGATTCAGGCAAGGGCCACTTGAACTGTGGGCCACCAGAGGGCAGTGGCCTTGAATGCCTGTAAACTGCAGCCAGGTCCGCTCCACTCTTTAGCCCTTAATCCTATCCTGATGTGTATTTTATTCTACTTCCCATGTGTATAAATGGTGTTTTTCCTCAAAGGTGGGGACTTTGTCTCAGAGCCTGCACAGTTCTATGCAATATCCTATCCTAAACGAAGGAATGCATTCAGTGGTCTAGCTGGAGATTGGAAGATAAACCCTTTAACTGCTGTATCCATTAGAATCCAAAATGTGCATACCCTTTGATCCAGCAATCTTCCAAGAATATCATTAGCAGGGATATTTGCATAATCATAAAAATATACAGCTGTGCAAGAATGCTCACAATAATAAGAAAACTGGAAATAATTTTAAATATGAGAAAGTGAACCAAATAAAATAGGGTGCATCTGGACCATACTCTGCAGCCCTGAAGAAGATAGCTCCACCTGTATTTGAGAGGAAGCGTGATACACTGGAGTACGCGAGCAGGAAGCAGCGACAGGAGAAGAGTGTGTGTTTGTCCCTAGAGTCCTACAGAAACCCCAGGAGTCTGGAAGAAAACATTAACAGTGGCTATCCGACGTGGCAAGGGTTTGCAAGGTTTCCTGAAGGGCCCTGGCCAGTATTCATACGTGAGGCTCCGTGGGACAGCAGTCTCTGAGAACGTGCGGGGCTGGGGCCGTGGTCCGAGGAGACCACGGACACAAATTTAAACTTCGTTCCTTTTTTCCCCCATCTAAAACCATTTTTAGCTCACGGGCTGTACAGAACTCGAGGCAGCCCGCGGGCTGTAAGTTGCCGAGCTCTGCCCTTGGGGATGAAACTGGGAAAGTGATGGGACTGTGTGTGGATGTTCCTTTTTTGTGTTCCTCTTTTTCAAACACAATCTGAACAATAAAATGAGATCATCCGCATCCCAGCCTTAGCCAGGAGTGCAAGCCTCATACCTTGTCTTTCGACCGCACGGTGACCACAGAACTCCCAAACCTTGAACTTGCCTGTAAAACAGGGGCTGTTAATGGTCTTTGGAAGACATACCATATTTGATCAGTTTAAAAAATAAGGGAAAGGGCACCTTCATGGTTTTTCTTTCTTCATTCCCGTAGGAGGTACTCACCTCAGGAGAAACCAGTACGTACTGGGCCTGGAAGAAAAGGGTGAGAGGGACTGGTTACTGTGGCGGGTTTTAACTGCAGCCCCACATGCACACTTCCACACTCTAAGCCCTGCGCTTTGTTGCCCTTTGACACAGGAACTTAGCTCAGGGAAATAGATGCACAGAGGTGTTTATACATGAATATTTGTATCCTTATTTAAAACTGAAATGAAATGGACTAAGGGGCTAATAATACTAATATTTATTGTTTACCTAAACTGTGGCTTATCCACAGAGTAGTAGGCAGCTGGGAAATGTACTGTAGGAGAATGTAAGCAGGCATAGAAAAGGGCAGTAAGACAAAATCTTGTTACAAATTGTGTACAACAGATCACAGTTAATAAAATACATTCACACAGTGTAGTGAGGAAGAGACCGGTCTGGTGCAGAGCCCCATCCTTTCATTTCTGAGTGCTGTGACCCCGAGCATCTTCCTCTCGGATCCTCTCCCCCCACTGGGCATAGTGCCAACTCACCAGCCTTGATGTGAGTTAAGAAGGGGCTGGGAGGGAGGGCGAGATCTGTAAGTGCTTAGCATAGTGCTAGGCACAGAGTAAAATGCACAGTGAGAGCCACTAAGGTCAGGAAAAAATACCGGAAGGGTATACATCAAAAGGTTAATTATTTCTGCAGAATGCACTTCTCGGTAGAAAATTTTTATGCCCAGGGAACCCTTAAGGAAACCCACCTGAGAAAAGGAGTAAAGGAACAGGGGTGCCTAGTGGCTCAGCAGTTAAGCGTCTGCCTTGGGCCCAGGTCATGGTCCCAGGGTCCTGGGAATGAGCCCCACATCGGGCTCCCTGCTCCGTGAGGACCGTTCCCCCTCTGGCCCTGGCCCTGCTTGTGCTCACTCTCGTTCTGCACTCTCTCAGAGAAGATCTTTTTAAAAAGGCAGTGAAACAGGAAATAAGATGAGACTGCAGTGGCCCTGGCCTGGCTTCTCTGCCGTGGGCTCCCATCCAGGCGGCGGGCTGGGCGCGAAGCAGCTGACACCACGTCCAGAGACTGCAGCTACAGGCACCGCGCTGCAGACCTGCAAGAGCCCAGGGCCACTTGTGCCTACACACACAGGCATGTGACTGTCCTGACCGCGGACAGTCCAGCTAGCAACTCGAGGATCTGCAGTGGACGCCATTTTACGAGGCATCAGGCAGCCTCCTTTGCCCACATGGCATAGATTTTGTACGGGCACGTTACCTTTTCTTCAGGACACGGAGCTATCCATGATGCGCATCTGCCCGTCATGTCACCGAAGGTGATGTGTTTGCCATTATAGACATAAACACGGCCGTCTTCCCCGCCCAGCAGTCCGGAGGTGACGTCCGTGATCCTCAGGGGGGCTGCCAGGATTATTTCATCTGCAAGCCATAGAAACCACAAGGGTCTCCCTCCTGTCATGCTTTCCATTGTCCTAACCCAACCGCCCACGGGTCAGATTAGTGTGTCCTTCACGTAGTCCACCCTCCCCACCCTCTTGAAGGCTCTCCTGTTACCACCTTCAGGAAGTCTAGCTCACTTGGCTCTGGTCTTGCCTAACTCGAAATAGACATAAAGGCCCTTGGGCCACTGAGCTGTTCATTATGAGGGCAGAGGCTACATGATCCAATTAGGGGACCGGTCTGTTGAGCAAAGGGACTCGATTCTTGGCCAGAGGCCCTGTTCCTTTCCCACCTAAGCCATCGCCATCCAGGTCACTCAAGTGCAGAACTCCACCAAAGCGAGAGAAGCGGCGGTCCCCGCTGAAGGTGCTGAGCAGAGAAGGCTGTGTGTCGGGGGTCAGTTCATACATCCGAGTGGTTCCGCCCTGGTGCAAGGTCATGGTCAGGAACGCCATTTTGGACACCTCATCTGAAATAAACCAGGGCGGGTGGCGCCTGGGTGGCTCAGTCGTTAAGCGTCTGCCCTTGGCTCAGGTCATGATCCCGGGGTCCTGGGATCGAGCCCCGCATAGGGCTCCCTGCTCTGCGGGAAGCCTGCTTCTCCCTCTCCCACTCCCCCTGCTTGTGTTCCCGCTCTCGCTGTGTCTCTGTCAAATAAACAAAATCTTTTAAAAAAATATTTAAAAAAAAATAAATCAGGGCACAGTATCTGGTGCCATCCCAGGAATGGAGAGAAGACAAAGCACTGAATGGAGCCCTAGTCTTCCTTCAGCCTTCCGTGCCTCAAGTGACACAACGGCTCAGGATCACAGCCAGGCATCTTCAGTGGGAAGGTGCCACAGGCTTGGGCACAGAGACCCAGGCGTGGGGCACGTGCAGGGATACCCCATCAGACAGCTCTGACCCCGCAGTAGCCTCCATCTCCCCTTACACCGCAAACTGCCCGCGTCACACTCCTGACAAACCCGACAGAGTAAGTTCTTCCCGCGGCCTTCCAGAACCTGACCGTGACTTCCGGCTAGAGCTGTCATACAGTCCGTCTCACCAGCCGGACTCCCTCACGGGCCCAGGGCAGGGACACCGCCTTGCATTGTGGTTCATACTTGCAACTCGGAAAAACTTAAGTCGTACTTCTTCATTATCACTGACTTTCAGGATTACTGTGAAACAGTCGAAAATCTTGAGTGTCAAACTTGTGAATGCCAACACTTTTTACGTATCATAAAAGGTGTGGAAAATGCCCCCCCAAAATTATAAAGTTCTAGAACTTATACTGCTTTCTGGAGTTTGATGCCCACATGTGTGTTAAACAAAATGGAGATTGTTGCAGATTATAAAATTTTACATGTTTTACATTTAGGCCATTTCTAACTGCTGTTTTAATTAACACTGTGATAAAGATCCTTTCCTGCAGTTTGGAATAGTTCCTGAGAGCAGATTCTTAGAAATGGTCCAAACAGCATCCAAGGGAATGAGTATCTCTGAGGCTCTTGCCCTTCTGCCAAACCTTTCTGGAAGGGGCAGCATCAGTCCACCTGTCACCAGCACCATAGGAATGCCCACCTCATCTCAGCCTCGCCATGTTTGAGTAGCATCGTTTTCATACTGAAGATACTTCACAGTTACTCATCAGCACCCTAAAATCCCCACTAAATATTTAGGCTCCGGGGGAGAGGGACAGGCCTCACGGGGTCATGCTCCCAACCACCGCCCTCAGGGATCACCCCGCAGGTATGTCTGACCGTTCAAAGTGCAGTGAGTCTTTTACCAGAGAGCCGGGATGCCCAAACTGCACTGAGGGATACTGATTCTCTTTCTCATAAATAAATACATAAGGTTAATTTGTATATAATACAGATATGTAAATTGACCTTTTTATATTGTTATATAGTATTTTGTAACAGGAAAATACCAAGACCGGAAGGACATTAAAACAAAGTCTGGAAAGCTCTAATCACAGCACTCCAGTAGAAAAGTGAAACAAACAAAATCACTAATGGGTGTTGTGAAAGTTTGGAAAGAGCTCTGTGAAAGGGGGAACCCCCACTACTCCAGCTAAGTCCGCATCCGGGGTTACAGTGCTGTGTCCTTAATCATGCAATGAAAGATCTAGCCTTCTGGGCCGCTGGCCGGCGCAGTCCACAGAGCATACACCTCTTGATCTCCCAGCCGTGCTTAGTTTAAGCCCCACGCTGGGCATGGAGCCTAGTTAAAATGAAAGAAAGGAAAGGAAAAAAACACGTAGCCATTCTTTTGCCCAATCCACTCTGCTTATTTTTCTAATGTGTGCAAAAATCTTCCTGAAAAATAACTTGACAATATGTAAGAAGAGCCTTATTGGTAGACCCTCTAGTCCAGGAATTCCTTCTCCAGGATATTTTAAAAGCTATTTAGGAGGCAGAGTTTTCTGTACATCGATGTTCGAGAGAGAAGACGGTATTCACAATAGTGAATAATTGGGAGCATCCTTTTCAGCTTAAGTTTTTAAATATCTGGATAAGGGGTGATTTCTATATACATCTTTTATTTTCACAAATTTCTACAATAAGCATGATTCACTTTGATCATCTTCAAGGCAGTAGATCTTCAAGGTTTTAAAATTTTATTTATTTATTGAAGAGAGAGCACAAGCAGAGGGAGAGGGAGAAGCAGGCTCCCCTCTGAGCAGGGAGCCCGATGCAGGGCTCGATCCCACAACCCTGGGACCATGACCTGAGCCGAAGGCAGACACCCTACGACTGAGCCACCCAGGCTCCTGAAAGGAGTAAGTTTTTGTTGGCTTTTTAAAACTTTCCCATAAAATAAGTGATGTTTTATTAACATAGGTCCTCAGCAGACCTAGTCCTGGTGAACTGATGTATAGAATTTTCTGAACCCCCCACCTTGCTCCAAGCTCAGTGAGACTAGAGCTTTAACAACACGCTTGGTTACTTTCATGAGGGATTTTCAACAAATCTCTGAGGTAGATAGTATAATTTGCATTTTGCAGATGAAGATACTAATGCTCAGGAAGGTTAAGTAACTTCCCCCAGGTTATGCCGCTTGCTATTACCAAGAAAAGGAAATACTCACAGTCCGGTCTGTCTGGCTCCAGATTTCACAACCTTCCCCCCAACAGGATGTGGTCAAGGAGCCACCCGACTAAAAACGCAGCCACGTTTCCCGGCGCGTGACCTACCGTGAGTCGGGGCTCCAGCCAGCAACACTTGTTTCTGGGCCCCGTTCACCAGCACGTGGCCGCTGGACAGGGAAGCCCCCAGCTTCCCCATCGTCTGCAAAATGCCATCCGTCAGTACCATGCAGCTCCGAGAGCTCTCCCTGGTGCCCAGTCTCCGTGGGGGGCGCGGCAGCCTTACCTTATCTCCGGAAACGGTAAACCAGCTTTGGCGG